AATATGCACTCACACCTCCCACACACTATACACACACCCCACACACACCCAAACATACATATACACACACTCCACACACACACCCCATACACACATCCACACCCACACCCGCACCCACACCCTTCGGGCGGTTCCCTCGTGAGCATAAACGTTATCAAGAAGAAAAGCTAGAAAATACATTCCTGACTTTTTGGCAAACATGAAAACAAACATGAAATCATCTGAAACTCTTTTATATTCACATTCACCTTATCTTCGTGCTGTTAATAATCTCAATGATTCACGGATTGATTATTGATTATATTTATCAAATCTTAAGAAATACAAATAATCTTGTGACGTTCATCATCCAAGACGTGATTTAATTTCAATTGTTCCTCGCAAGAAACCTATCTTTCCAATATAGCACCAAATTGTAGAAATTTCATGAAATTAACATTATAAACTCGCTTTAACCCTTACTATTTCATATTGATCAATCTCACTTTTGACGAGCTTTTCTTTGGTATAGAATTCAATATTGATATCAAATGGCATTGGAACTGCACCACCGGCTAACACATTTTTGGCCATGCTACAGAATTATATGTATTCAAAATAAATATTTCTTGAATTTTGTGAAAATTATTTATTTAGTGATTGATTTACTCCGTACCAGTTTTCAAATACACATCTTTCGACTATACGGATGCCTTAAACTCCTAGTATTGCTCGAGTGTACATGAATTTTTTTTGAGTTTTCTCAACTTCCTTGGCCACTTGAAAATGTATAACTTCAAATGATACTCATGCATTGAATTTCTAGAATTGCTAGATTTTCTTTGAATGGCGATTTTTTGGATCCGGATACTGCTGTTATGATACCATTTTGCTGGAGATGCGTAGCAGAAGCCATGTTTTGAGGAAAAAACGAAAAAATAATTTTGTTTATTCAAAAACAAAGCCTCTTTTTCAAGCATAACGTATCAAAAATCATCAAATATTTTTTTAGAAACAAGATTCTAGACGAAAATTCATAGTGTTTAGTGGAAGATATGTTGATGGACTAACGTTCCATGCATTTATCTTTATTTCGATATTTCTGACAAAAATGGACTTTTTGAGAGCAGGACAGGGGCACTTAACAAAATCACTGAAATATGGGTTGTTTTTCTCCGAGTAAGATTCATTTTTGTTAGTTTTCATTAAAATTAGCTAACGTAAATGATATCGAACTAAAATATATGTCGATAATGTTAAGCATTAGCCATCGATATTCATGTAAAGATGTTTGAGAAGATTCAATGCATTCTTGTAGTGAATCATCGCTTCTTTCTTGTGATCCATTTTCATGTGGAGATCTTTTAATCGATTTTCTGTTATCACTGTTTCGAATTGATAAATCGGCGTAAAATGTTGATTGATATCCAATGCAGTGGTATACACGGCTAAGGCTAGATCCATTTCCTGTTGTCGTTCGTAGATATCTCCTAACAGTCTAATAATTATCAAACAAACGATCGAACATTATCGATTGAATAAAGATACTTACCGATAAGTTTCTGACAATGTTTGATTTTTCATTTGTTCCTTCGCAGCATCCTCATTTTCCGGTTGAAATATAGTGATCTGCTTGAAATAAGTTAAATTACTACCAGGTAAAGTTGTTGCTGATTTTGATAAATTTGCGTGCATTAGAAAACTAACTGTTTTATTTCCATGATCAAGAGCAGATTGATCATCTCCGAGTTTAACATGAGTCATCGCTAACCATTGATGACAAAAGGCTAATTCCCAGAAATCTTCCGGTGCGTATGTTTCATAAAACTGCACTGATTTTTGAAAATGATCCAATGCCCGTTCATGCTTATTATGATGACGAGAAAAGATTTGTCCAAGATAGCGATGTGCCAAAGCGTAACTATCAAATGCACAATGTTCGATCGGATAGGTGACAATTCGTTCAAAACAGTTTTGAGCTTTGTCGATTAGACGAAGTTCTTTATAATAATGAAGACCAATATGAAATAAAATACCAGTAAGAAGAAAACGAACTTGTTGAATGAACATCGGCGATGGAGATTCAACAAGAAACACAGCATCGTACACGTCAATTGCTTTTAAATAATATCTATGACTATCATCAGTCCATGCATTTTCGAAGAAATAGCAATTACCGATGATTGCATAGCACAGAGCCAATGCGGCTTCATCGGTGGGTGTGATATGATTTTCGTAGAGATCCAATGCTTTTTCATAATTAGCTCGAGCTGATGTAAAACACGTAGGTATTTCGATTGCTTGAAGTTCAATTGAATGGCCGATTTGCATTCGACATTGTGCTTGGAAGATCGGAGGCAAATCATCAGTATAAGTGAGAGCTCGTTGAAAAAAATCGATTGCTTTCGAATGTTGATGCATCTTGCTGTAGGTCAAACCTAGATAGAAACAACAAATCATCGTATGAAATCGATCGGTTTTATCATTTTCATTCCAGATGCGTGTCCATTGTTTGATTGAATAAGAATAATTGCCGCCTTTGAAATGTACCATTCCCAAGGCACGTTGCGGTAAACGGATGAATTCATTTCGATTATCAAGACTGAACAAATGTTCCGACAAAGTTAAATACATTGTTGCTTGGCAGAGGACTTTTTGTTGTTCAAGTTCGAGCGGTTGTTTCGGACCGACTTTTAGTATTAATTCTGCAGCTTGAATATAGTGTAAAAGAGCTGCATCATCTTGTTTGATTTTGCTTGTCGGTACTTGAAGTACTGCCAATTCGAATCGATGTAAATAATTCAATAGATTATTCAAATGTAGAAGAGCATCAAATGGATTTATATTTGGTGTGACAGACCACATCTGATCGAATCCAGTTGAATCGTATAATCGACGTTGATCAATACTCTGTTGAATGCAAGCCATACCATTGTCGTTGGTCATCTTCATTCGAACACGCCAATAGGGAATTTGATTTTCTTGTTCTTCAATGATACTTTCAATTTGAAATGTTGCATCAAGATCAAAAAGAACTTCTTCTTCGCCCGGATTTTTAGAAAATCGACTAATATCAGCGAGAATCTGTTCGCTGGCATTTAAATCAACTTCAATATCGAGTAGAATCGATTCCCCATTCAATTCTTGAGGGGTTGTACCGATAGAACCGAAGATCTTTGCTGTTTGTTCACTTCGACTCATCGACCAATAGCCATTAGTCGAAACAATTTTTCCTTGATTTTGTTCAAGTTCACACCGACGAGAATATGGAACAACTTGACCACGATATAAATGAACAAAATATCCAAGTTCTAAACAATCACGCCAAATTTTCCAATCTTCCGACAAACATCGACTTAAATCGCGTATGTAAAATCGAAGTACAAATAAACATTCAAGATCTTGTGTGCGTAAAGCTCGATTGATCAATCTATAGACAAATGAATCTTCTGTATACCATTGAATGGCAATATTCGGTTGATAATCATGTTCGAACCTTTGAATATCATTGGCATGTGATGTTGGATATTGTTTCCGACAAAGTGTGATCAGCTCTGATTTAGCATTGTTGTCTTCCAAACATTGATCCGTATTGAGAAGGATTTGTTTATACATCCGATAGTACAAAATACGGAATGATTCATTCCTCACATCACGTTGAGATCTATTCGTCGATGTATCCAATAATAATTCACCACTGGTACGTTGATTTTCAAGTTTCCTAGCGATATAACTGTCAACATCTTGAAATAAGGAACTCAAGTCATCGAAGTTGTTCCAATGAAAAAAGACAATATTATTGTTCTCCTTGCACTTCGATGGTAGGAGTGCAGCACAATCTTGATGAGAGATTAAAACGATCTTTTCGAACTGAGATGTTTCCAAATAGTGTGACAAACAATCGATTTTGGAATAGAAAAGAACAAAACGATTGAGAGTATGGAGGCGTTTTCTTAGTTGTTGAGTTTGATCATCATCAATAATGAGATCAGTATCGAACCAGATTAAAGTCAAATCTTGTTTCTTGCGTAATTCAATATGGGGCCAAGGATTAAGAATTGATGCAGCTTTTTCAGGATAAGAGATTGAGTTCTGTGGTACAATGTTACCAGTACTATCACAGAATCCCAATTTGAATTTCAGTGGTGTTGTTAACGAATTCATTCGATTCGATTTTTACATGTGTCAGAGAAATAAGTCACTTCCTTTTACTCCCATTCTCTTTTGTTATATTTACATTTTCAATGCAATTTTAAACTAATGTGTCTCACCCTACTTTTTATTTTCATTGGCACAACAAGAGAATAGCAATAGGGTGTGGGTGTGGGTGTGGTTGGGTGAGGGTGTGGGTGTGGGTGGGTGGGGGGGTGGTGTGGGGGTGGGTGTAGGTGCGGGTGGGGGGGGGGGGGTGGGTGTGTGGGGGGGGGGGGGGGGGGG